AATTTTGATTCATTTTGAATATGTTTTTTAATCAACTCAATAATTTTATAATATAATAATATATAAAAATATTATATAATAAATTGAATCTGGACATATATGGAATGCTCTTGATAACGACAGATTTAAAGAGAGAAAGAACTCAGTAACTGATAAAACTGGTAGTAATTTGCAAATATATTTGACACTTATTTTGGAAATATAATAGTGTCGAAAATAGAACAATGTGAGATAAAAAATATTTTATATAACATCTTATACAAAAATTTATTTTATGGAGTTGTTACCTAAGTTATGTTATCATTCTTAACGAGTGTCACTCATGTTTCCGTTTTTTAATTTACTCTCGCTTCTACTCCGCTTGATGTCTACTTAAATTTAGGTATTTCTGAAAAAAAAAAAATACAAATATATTTTACATAAAATATGATATTATGAGTATTTCTTAAATATATTTTAGGCATCTTCATATTCATAAGAGACTATATTTGGAGTTATCCCGTCATAAAATAATATTCTTGGTATCTTCGTACTTATAAATTCATTAAAAAATTAAACGGGAGTCTTCACAGATTATACTTACAAATTTATTATTTACTTTCTTAATAAATTTGCTTTATTTTCCAAAAAAAAAAAAAAAAAAAATTATACGCACATCCACTTTATCTCCGATCCGTACAACCCAAAGCCTCCCTTCTTCGTACCACAAGGAGGGTCTTAGCGAATTACTTACCACCATGTATTGGATTTTAATGCAGTGGAAGGTTGTCAAAGTTGTTAGGAAGTTCGTCTTGCTGTCTTTGACCTTGAGAAGTTTGATTGGCGGAGCCAATTAAGAGCATCACCTTGTAGGGTTGTTGAGATATAGTCGAGAAAACGATCGCGTTTCCAAAGAGTGCATTTATTTTAATAAATAAATTATGTAAACTTTCATACCACACAATCCCATTAAAATATTTAATTTCATAATAAAAAATTTAAATATTAAACTATAAAAATATGGAAAGGGCTAAAATTTTCATTTTCAATATTCAATGAGACTGGTTTGAATAGATTTATTATATAAATTGAAATTGGTCTAGATTGATTTGTGTTACTATAAATTTTTTATTTTTTACCCAAACATAACAATATATTTTTATTTTTTATTTTTGAGTTGATATAATTATGATACTATTAGTGTCAATTCAAACTTACTAACTTCATATTGAGTTCAAATTTTTTTCCTAGTTAGGACTCACACATTGTCTCCACTGAGGTTCAAATCTCTAATCTCCTTTTGAAAAGTAGGAGTCTTATACCACTAAGCCACATGCCTATTGATTATTAAATTCAAGTTATGTTCTAAGTTTTACATAATTCCAAAGGAATTAAGGAGACCTAGTGAAAAGGGTCCTCAAAAATTATGGTTTATAAGGTTGCCAGTTGCCACAAATCACATTCCTCATATTTCATGTCAAGTAATAGGGCCTGCACTCATATGGTGTGGTACGTTCTTCCCAAATGGGAAGAATTGAGATTTCAAGTCAAATTAGGGACTTGTTATATATAATGGATTTGTATTTCGTAATTTGCTTTAGCTTGAAAAAAAATAATAATAATAAATAAAAAGTATACAATACTTTCCTCAACTATTGACGTTTTTCACTAAACTCTGGTTGACTATATTTTTTTTCAAAAAAAATAAAAATAAAATAAAATCCCCAACCATCCTAGGATAGTAAAAGAGTGAATATTTAGACCAAAATATCTTTATTGTTATTTTATTTGAATCATAATTCTCTCGAATTTTAAAAATTCATACCTCACAAATTATACATAAAACAATTGCAAATATATATATGAACGAAAAACTTATGAAATAAGGATTCCAGAAATATAAAATTTGTGCAACAAGCCGTCGTAACCAAAGAGAAATAGGCCATTTAAGAATTTGTTCCAACAATCTTATTTTATTTCAAACTCGAGATATTTGCAAGAACATTTCCAAAGTTATTCATTTGCATGCATATGCATAATATATAAAAAATTTATTCCCAATAGAGATCGATTATTCATTTTGTTTTTTGTTTTTCAAAATGGTGAGTTTATAAGAAGATGAAAATATGATATCTCATGAAATCAATCTTTATTGGGGCTAAAATTTTTATATTATGCTTCATATGCAAATGGATAATTTTGAAAATTTTCTTACAAATATCCCAAGTAAAATAAATCCCAAGTAAAATAAAATAAGATTGCTGAACCAAATTCTTAAATTGCCTATTTTTCTTTGGCTATAGTGGCTTGTTAAACAAATCTTATATTTATGGAATCCTCGTTTCGTAAGTATATATTATTTGTAATTTTTTGATTACGGTTCATGAGATATAAATTTTTGAAATTCGAGTGAATTAAGGTTCAAATGAAACAACAATAAGGGCATATTGATCCAAATATTTACTCTTTTCCCTCTCTCGGATGGTTGAAGGGGATTTTTTGAAAAGAAATTAATTGAGGGAGTTTACCGGGATCACCAACTTTGTCCCAAAAAACAATAATAAAAACTTCACTAAATTTGCCATTTAGGTGTCAATTAATTTTTGTGTCTACTAATAAACATAACTCATCCATTTATAAAACAACTAAATCCTCGGAAATAGCAAAAGCAAAAGCAAAATGCAACAAAAGAATGAGAAAGATGGATGATTATGAGTGTCTTGAATTCGCAAAACACTACTTGATATATAGAGTTTGTGTAAAAATAGTCTTTATTTTTTTAAAATATACATTTCAGTTTATAAAATTTAAAAAGGTGCAAATAAACTCTTTGATCACTTTCTAATTAAAATTGACATAAAATAAATTCAAAAACCCTATTTTTTATTATTATTTTTTTTTACCCTTCTCTCTACACTCCACTACTACCACCATCCCCAACCCCACCACCACCACCTCTACCGCCACCACGAATTTGTCAGAGGTCAAAACCCCTCCCCCGTACACCCATGCCCAATCAACCACGCTCATCGAACCCTCCTCCCCCTTCTGCCACATGGGCCCCAGGTGGCATCTGTTAAGGCAGGAAGTGATCCCTGGTCTCCGGTACACCCCAACAGAGTTGATGGCACCTTTGATATACTAAATTTAATTAATCAGGTGCCTCCTTAATAGTTTAAGTACTTAATTTCTAATTAACCACTGTACAAAGAGGGATGAAGATCTAGAAGGAACCCACATGGCCACAATTTTCTTATTCTGTTTTGTTGAACAATTTACACATTATCAAAGAGAAATGTCTCACTAGTTAAAGCTGTATACATCCAAAGGTTCCTAACCAGTAATTCTTTATCAAGGTTGAAATATGGTTAAATTGAGACTGCCATCATAGCTAGTCCTACCAGAAATGTAACTTAAAAATTCATGGTTCTTCTTCTTCATGGTTCTTCTTCTTCATGGTTAAAAGTTACATTCAGCCTATTCAGGAGTGTCAATGCTCAATCAATCCATCAAAAAAAAAATTTGAATGACCTTCCTAACATAAAGCTTGTTCAAATCTAATGATTCCTTGATAATGTGTAAATTACTGTTTGAGCTACGTAACTAATCCTTTTCTTCTCCAAAATCATGCAAGTATTGTGAACAAGTTAATACAAAGGGCCAAAAATATATATATATTAAAAAAAAAAAAAAAGGAAAAGAATAAATTATCTAAAATGGTAATTTTACATTGCCTAATTTTTTAATATTATTTTATTTATATTAGAGAGGGTATTAATGTCTTTTTATGCAAACATGGGGGTAATTGCACCACCAAATTAATAATATAATGGGGTTTTATACACATTCGACTATTTTACACTATATCATGGTATTTTTTTGCACTTATTCCTTATTTAGATGCTTAAAAATGAAATAATGTTCTCATTTCTCAAGAACTGGAAAGGATCCGTTCATGGCACTCTGCTAATCAGAATAAAAGAGATTATGGAAGACTTGGTTAGATTTTCACCAAAATCTTTTGGGAGGAATTTTGCAGCATATCTACTATATTTCTTTGCAGGACTTTATATATATATATATATATATATATATATATTTGGAGGACTGACATAGGATCAAGCTGCCCATATAGCTAGGAACGTGTCTACTGAGGAAGTCAAAGAAACAATGATTTTTCACCCAAATGGTAAATGCCCTTGGGACCTGGTCCAGTTGGTTATGCCCTCATTTTCCAAAGAAGGGGCTAAGTGGTTGAGAAATTATTATTTGCAAGTGTAACATACATAAATACTCTACTAAAATATATATTTTTAACTGTATTATAGATTTACTTTCATAGTCAATATGGTTTGTAATGAATAATTTATCAATCTCTAAATAAATTAGAAAACGTGAATTTAAAAAATATATGAAAACGTGAATTTTAGAAATGCTTATAATAGCATTTTAATAATTGGGTTAACATGTGTATTTTTTCTAACCTTTAATTTTTATTTTTATTTTATGCTTATGATAACGTTTTATTAATTGGGTTGACATGTGTATTTCTTCTGACCTTTAATTTTAATTTTAATTTTTTTATGCCCTCTTAGTTTTATACATTTGATCCAACAAGGCAAGGACTCTGAATAAAAATAGAAGCATTTAAAAATATAATGGTTATAATAAATAATTTTTCAATCTCTAAACATTGAATAATTTTTTAATATTTCCAATGAATAATTTCTCAATCTCCAATGAAATCTATCTCTCAACATTTAAAGAGGTGGGGTTTATTCAACGTTTTATTAATTTGGTTCACACGTGTATTTCTTTTACCCTTAAATTTTTATTTTAGTTTTAATTAGTTAGTTATTTATTTATTATTATTATTATTACTACTATTATTTTTATGCCCTCTTAGTTTTATACATTTGATCCAACAAGGCAAGGACTCTGAATACAAATAGAAGCAGCACACAATAATATCAATTCTTGTATTTAGATATGTAGAATACAAGTTAAACATCAAATGCACACATATTCAAAAGGAAGTGAAATTAAACAGTACAAGCATCATAAACAAAAACACAAATGAATAACCAAAACCAAACACTCTCAACTACTACTACATACGAGACTTATACTTCAAACAATCCTCCTAAGCTTTGCAACAAACAAAGCGACCGAGTCCCTTAGGAGAAGATGTGTGGTCTTCTCTGTCACCAGAGATTTGGACAGCCTTGTGTAGTTTGCTCTTTTTCTTCCCCAACTGGTCTTTAGGCACTGTGACGACAAGTACACCGTCCTGCATTGAAGCCTTAATCTGATCGACCTGTGCATTGTCCGGCAACCGAAATTGTCTGTAGAAAGTCCCAGTTGACCTCTCTTTACAGTGCCATTTGTTGCACTTGTCATCATCATTTTCTTTTCTCTCTGCACTGGTTAAGTGGATGACTCTGTCGTCGTGAAGCTGAAGCTTGACATCATCCTTTGTGAGACCTGGAAGGTCGAACTTGAAGATGTGGGCATCTGGAGTTTCCTTCCAGTCCATGTAGGCATTGCTGTCTCTGGAACTGGAAGGCCCAAAGCCAAGGCCAAATGTGTCCCAGAAGAAGGGATCAAAGTGCGAGCTGAATATTGATGACATGTTTTGGTGGTTTGGTTTTTTGTTTGGTCGTGAGATGATTTACTTGCAAATGTTTTGTTGTAATTTAATTCAAATTAGTAATTGAGGTTTGTGGCTATATATATATACAAATTGATGATGTGGGTTCTTGAAAGTTCTGGAGTTTGATTTTGGTAATCTTTTGGCTTTGCCACACAGCAGAATGTTGGAGATTCTTCTACCAGTTGTGAGAAAAGTCAACATTCTTGGTGTGTCTAGAAGGGAAGATACTAGAAGTTCCGAGATATGAAAACTGTTCCATTTAACACCACTCTTTCAATGTTGACACAAAATGAAATTTGCATTACATTGCACCTAACATTAGCCTTTTAAATTGACAAAATAAGATTTTATTTATGTGGTTTTTGTTTTTGGACTGTTAGTCCATCTCTAATACAAATATTATTTTTGTATGTCAAATTTATATTTTAAAAGGAGTTAAAGTTGTAGTGTCAAAAATATTTTACCAATTTTGTTCTAATGATATATTTCATTCAAAATACTATTTTTTTTACACAACAACCATTATTTTTCAACTATCTTTCCCAATTACCAATTTTCAACAATTTTATTTAGCTTATTTACTTAATTAAAAATAATAATAATAATTATCATTATCAAATCCAACTGAGTCTTGAAATTTAGGCAGCTTTTGGATTCACAGACATATATAAACACATATATATACCAACACTGACATATATATATATATACACACACAAGCACAACACCAAAGCTTTCTTGGTGAAGACCTCCTGGGTAGTGAAGGAAACGACGGCGATGATGTTGGACTGGCGAGGCATCGTGATGACGAGCTCCCGGCAACAACGACGATGATGTTGGATCGACGAGGCACAAAAGCTTTCTAAAATTGGATGTATGTCGGTGAGGTTTTTTAGAGAGAGAAAGGGGAAATTCCAACGGAGCATAACAAATATATATATATATATTCCCCTTAATATATATATATATCAACCTAAAAACCCCAACACCCAATTTCAGATTTTTAAGAATCCAACCCCTCCACGTATATACACGAGGGAAGAGATAGGCTTACCCGAGTGAAGATCCGAGAGATAGAGAGGAAAATCCGATATGGGAGAGATAAGGAAAGGACAGATAGAGAGGAAAATCCAAACCCTCCACATATATACATGAGGGATGCGATAGAGAAGAGAGAAGGAAGAGAGCAAATAGCAGTTGCCATATTTGGCAGAAGTTTTGGCAAAACTATATTTTGGCAGCCCATTTGATAGCTCATTGGAGAGTCCATTTTAAACCTACCTGTTATATTTTGAAATTGGCAACCCATTTGGCACACCATTGGAGTTGCTCTTATAGTGTCGATTTTGGTAACAAAAACATGTTTGGTGCGGCTTTATTTTATTTTACAGTGTTAAACCACTTCGTGAACAGTGGCTCAAAACTAAAATACCAAAAATAGGTTTTTTATTTTATTTTATTTATTTATTTTTTTGTTTTAACAACTGTTCATGACCCAAAATCATAAATAAGCATGTTTCTGTTTCCTATATTTTTGCAGTAAAATATAGTGTCCAAACGTGATTCTAATTTTTTTCTAAAAAACATTATTTTTGTTTTAGCCAAAAATAAAATCCCCTAAAACAAAGTGCATATCAAACAGAAATAGTAAATTGTAACCATTTGAAACTACTTGCCCCTTACAAAAAATTTAGTTTAAAACTTTAAATCCCAACTCAGCCACCAAAAGATCTCTCCTTGCACGGCAAATTTTGAAGCAATGAACTTAAGAAAACGACCAAAACATAGGCTATGAAACTCAATTTGTTACATTTTACACCTCAATCTCATATTTATTTGTTCAATAAGACCAGCATTCAATGGTCTTACTTTAATCGAACCAAGCTCATTTATGTTCATTGATGTTGTCCGGTGCTTATGTCACGACAACGTGTCATGTATTAAAAATTTCATAACTGAAACAATTCATTTTAAAATATGTCATATAATGATGATATCAAAAATTACCTGATACACGTTACAAAATAAATCCTTATTCAAGAGTCATCTCCTTTATTTGAGGGTGCTCTATCACCTTAGATTTACATTCGGAAAAATAAAAAGAAGAAGAAGTGATGTTATCATTTTTTAAATTGGCTTGATCCTTGAATGGTTAAGAGTACTGGTTAGGTGTGGTGATGGTAATAACTATTTTAGTTGAATTATTAATAATTTTGGTTTTGTAATTAATTTTAAGTTGTATTTTGCTGTATAAAATTATAAAAATTTCTTTTTAATTTTTTAAGTTAATTTTTACCTATTTTATAAATTTTAATTCCATAGCCATAAAAGAAAAATAAAAATCTAGACTGAATCGATCAGAGGGATGAATCAATCAAATTCTCCACAAAAATGGTTTACACCTCCAGTGGATTGTGAAATGGTAAAATTCTACACTTTATGGATCAAATTTTAACAGAAACCGAGGATTAAATGAACTAATGGGATGCATCGATCCGATCTGCACATAGATTGCTTTGACCGATCAAATGTCGTGGTCTATATATATATATATATATATGTATGTATGTATGTATATATTAACTAGTGAGTCCTAATTACTACCATACGGAAATCACGTGCCCACTATTCTCCATGTCTGCACAATCACCACCAAGGAACCTGTTTTTCTTCGCCAGTGATCTCTTTCGCAACCACAGAATCATATAAATAGCATCATCTCAAAGGAGTAGAATCTTAAGTAAACTAGGCATGTGAATGTATATGAAAAAACTTGTATTTGTAAGATTTTTGGAAGTCAAATCTGATTGAAAAACTCAGAGAATCATTAAAATTTGTTGCCCAATGTTTTGTTGAAATTCAAGTTCAATTGAGTTTGAATTATAAAATTTTGTCCAATTCAAAGCCCATGCACCGGTGCAAATAAATAATGTACCGGTACATAGATTATATAGGGGAGAATTGAATCATCTCCATTAGTTTTTTCTCCAACATGTCAGGTTATATCACTTTTGTGCACGAATAATAAATATTAAAGTTACACCTTAAGCTTTTGGAATAGATGGTTATTAACATGATATCATCAAAGTCAAAAGACTCGTGTTCAAATCCCATCATTAAAAAACACGTGTTAACGTGTTGGCCCAAACAAAGACGTTAGATAATATTTTCTGTGTATTGCTGCATTGAGCAAAATTGTCCAGATTTTGAAACACTTTGAAAAGGGTTGAAAAAATATGATTCGTGTAGTCGACTCCAAGCAATTGTAGAAGACATACAAAATCATTATGTATTGATTCGTACCTCACAAAGAAGACTACACACATATGAGATGCAGATCCCAAAAAAAAAACAGAAAAAGCCTAGTTGGAATTGTATTTTCTTGGTCTACTACTCATGTGTACCTTCTGTACGTTCTCATGGCTAGCCAGAGAAGCACTACTCGTGCATCAATCAAAAAAGGTCCATAGACAAACTTAACATCTTATAATCCAAACACACAATTATGCATTTCCATCCATTTTGGTGTGTGCATGTGGGCTGTCTCTTTCCCTATAATTCATTAATTTTTAAGTGTCATCATCGTCAATTTTAAAATAGTTCATAATGCCAAAAAAAAAAAATAATAATAAATAAATAAATCTTCACTGGTCTTTACATAGATCCGTGCTTGACTACTAGGGACGAACCCATCCTATTCATACACCATTCATTTCTTTTTCTTTTTTTTTTGTTTTTCTAACATATAGTGTGTGTATATTGCATCCCAAAAATATATATATTTTTATGTAATTGTTGTTAAAAGTTGTCCCAACTCAAATAAATTTCTGGACCATCTTGAATGCTACAATGTGTGCATATTTTGGAGGGATGAAGATCAAAATTGAGACTGGTAGGGAAGGCTCTAGGAAACAAGAAATAACAAATTATATGTTGAAAATGTAAGTGGTGTGATTTAATTTGTTGCTTGTGTCTGAATATTGGCCTTAAATAATTGAATTGTTGACAAGCATAAAACACATGGGTTGTCTCACACGTGTCAGAACAAAATCAAGCTTAGGGTAGGATAAAACGTCGGCAATGGCACAACTTCTCCTCTCCTGCAATATCATCATTCAAAGAAGTTACCAAGAAAAGTTAGGATAATGCCATGTCACATTCTGCCTTCTCATTTTTTTCTCTAACATGTAGTGTGTGTGTATGTGTGTATATATATATATATTAAACACCATCCATCACGTTATGGTCGGTGTTTGTCAGAAGATTGAAAAATGAAAAAGAAGAAAGGAAAAGGCAAAAAGGGTACGTGTTATCAAAGAATCCTACAACCCCGACACACCCTTGTTCGACTTGATAAGTTTTGTATGGGTTGAAGTAGGGTACACACGGTTCGGTTTGAATCGATTTTAGAGTTCTTTGAAAACAAATCGAACTTAATTATTTTAAAAAATTTAGAACTAAATCAAATAATTTGATTAAGGAAATCAAATCAAATCAAATCGTAAGAAATCGATTTGGTTTGGTTTGGTTTCACTTTTTTTTTTTTTTTAAGAAGTATTTCTATTTCAAAATCCAAATACACAAATATAAACCAAGTTAATTAATACATTCAGAGCTGTTAATATATTTAGAACTTTTAATCTATTCTTCTTTGTCACTTCTGGAATTGAAGTGAATGCATATTGTTAATAACCTAATACATTTAGAATTACTAATTCAACAACAAATATAGCTATAATTTAGAAAACCAACAAAATTCAGTCACGGGAAATCAATAAAAAATAAGAATCATTTAATAAATTGATAACATCTAAGAAAAATTAAGTCTGAATGGTATTATTAATAGTTGCTACAAACTTCTAAATGATTTGGATAATATGATTATATTAGATTATATATACATAAGCTAAATTATATTTATATACATATAATTAAATGGCTCGGTTCGGTCCAGTTCGGTGCTAAAGGATCTCAAACCGTATATTTACGATTTTACAAATTTGAAACCGTAACCGAACCAATTAAACCGTCCGATTCGATTTGAATTTTTTGTACCCGAAGCTAAAGGGTCAATTTTAACTCAACTAAAGCCAATACTCTGCAAGTTTAGTTGAATTTGATGTCATGTTATTAATGAAATTGCATTGCTTTTTCAAAAAAAAAATCAAAATTTTATTTTCTAATTGAGCTCAAGTGTTTTTCACAACAATTTCAAAATTGATTTTTCTTATTGAGCTCAAGTTAGAGACATTAGACTAAATATCAAGTT